TTATTATTATTGTTATTATTGTTATTATTATTATTATGTAATAGAAACGTGTTATTCCAAATCAAAGAACCAGATCTGAAAAGGTTCTCAGAACCAGCTGAGGAACATAATAGTGGATCCAAATGTTCCACTTCTTCTGGCTGGAAGTCTGTCGTGATGTTCCGAGGCTGAGTGAAGATTTCTGCTTTATTCTGTTGTAAATGTGACGTCCATCAGCATCCCAGCAGGTTTCTACTCAGGTTCTGTATTGTTCTTTATCATTAATAAACCTGAAATACAGAATCCAGTCAGAATTCACTTCACATGAGATCCTGTTTCCATGTCTGCAGTTTACATTCAATTAAATTTGCCTTCAATAAATTATGATTTTCAGTCATTTAAATTAAATCTACACGTCGGTTTCTCTATCTGGAGATGAACCTGACTCATATAAATATGACGGCTCAGACCCAATAGTGCTGTCGGCTTCAGGCCTCAGTGATCCTGCAGAGCTTTAATGCTGTCAGTCAGTGTGTGCTGCCCCCTGGTGGCCGTCAGTCGCTCGGTGCTGCTTTAAGTTTTCCACAGACTCCTGGCAGCCGTCCGTCCACATCTTCTTGTCTTGTCATTTCAGGTTTTATTTCTGCTTCTTCTCTGGAAAACTCAGCTGATCTCCATCAGTCAGAAGCCCGTCCACACATCAGCGACAGACGAGGAATCAGTCACAGCGAGCTTCTCTCGGCGTGAACAACAAGCAGTCAGGTATGTGACCCGACCAGAGCTGAGACGCTCACCGACCCGCTGAAGGCAGCGTGACGCAGGCAGAGCCGAGAGGAGGATCCAGATCCAGATCCAGATCCAGAGCAGGAACAAGGAGGTCACGGAGGAAGTGATGCTCAGCGCAAAGAAACAGTTTCACAAAAACCAGTGAAAACCAACAACTGTCATGTTAAAAAAAAACTGCCACAAAGAAAAGGACAAAACCACTGAGCAGTTCCTCTAAATAATGACATTTTTTGTGATTTAAACAGTAAACGGGGTCGTTTTACAGTCAGATGTGGTAAAAGAACAAAACAATATTTGTAAAAACCCCGTTGATTACGTGGACACTGTCCAGTTCTGTCCTGCTTTAAGGTCAATTAGTACATTTACTGTTTTTTCCTCTAATGCTGCTGCATGTGATCAATGATTCAACCAAACAGGAAAGTTAAAGTTACAAAGTGCTGAAAGAAAAACCTTTAATTAGAGAACTCGTTAAAATACAGAATATTACCACAAAGTCTGATTAAACAGTAAACTCCTGTTCTGCTTTAACTCTGGAACAATACAGGAAACGGAGGATTTAATGTCAGACAACCAGGTGAGCCTCAGATGGACCAGGTGAGCCTTAGACGGGCCAGGTGAGCCTCAGACGGGCCAGGTGAGCCTCAGACGGGCCAGGTGACCATCAGAT